TTACATTTTATATTAATTAATATAAAAAATATATTAATTACACTTTTAAGTTGTGTTTAAAGTATAAATTAGATAAATTTTTATTTTAATTTCAGTTAAAGATAAATTAAAATAGATAATTTAGGTATAATGATGATTTAAATAGTATTTTCCTATTCCAAGTCATCACTCTACTGCTCGGATTTTTCATATCATCATTTTTATTTTTATTTTCCGTGCATAAAATAAAGAAGTGACGTGCATTAATTAATATGTCACGTTATCAAAAATAGTTAAAAGAAAGCATTGACTTATTTATAAGAAAATAGTTCCTATCAATTTTATTTTTAAAAAATTAATAAGGAATTTATCTCAAAATTATGTCATTTTAATAAATTTTTATTTAAAAAAATTAAATTATCATATTTTAAAGCATGCATTAAGGTAATTTTTATCTTTTTTTCTCTTAATTTTTTAGAGGTAAGATAGATAATCATTAATTTTTAAATGAGATTTTTAATTTTGTCCTCTATTGCAAGATAAATTATATTTATTATATTTTTTATTATTAATATATAAATTAAGAATTTAAAAAAATAAAAAATAAAATTTAATTTGATATTATTTAATTAAATTTATTTATATGATAATAATATTAAAATTAATATTTATTTTTATATTTTTATACAAATTTAATATAAAAATATGTTTCTAACATGTAATTTAAGGGTGTAAGTTAAAAAAATTCTTTATAAATTTTAAAATTTTTTAATTTAAAATTCAACCTAAAAGTTCATACAATACCTAAGGGATAAAATTAAGGGTTTTTCAACTTGTACATTAAGAGTATTTTTTTATTATAAAAAATATATAAAAAATTATAAAAATTTGTATTAATTTTAGTGTCAATGACAAGTGTGTAAATTTAATTAGATAGTTGATAAATTAAATTTTTATTTTTATTTTTTAATATAAATTTATAATAAAAAATATATTTAATATACCTTTAATCTATACCTTGAGTACAAGTTAGACAAACACTTAAATTAAAAATTTAACTTATTATTTTTCAGCATTTTTTAATTTAAGTGCTATGACTATATTTCTTGGTTTAATTAACTTTTTGTGAATTCAACACTTAAAATAATATAAAAAATATGAAAATTAAAAGATCCTGATGCTCATAACATCTATTATAACTATTTGTTAAGTAAATTTTACCTCTAAACTCACTCAATAAATAATTATGATAAACATCTTGAGTGTTAAAACGTTCTGATTTTTTGAGCCCTAAAATAATATTGCAACAACAAATTAGTTGAAAAGTATTAATTTTGAGCGAGACAACACTTTAGCAATTAAATCCATTAGAACCAGTAAAATCAATACAAACTGTGAACGAACCGACAAACCAACCAGTTCAAGATTTTGAGTTAAGTCAAGTCCTGATTTTTTATTTTAAAATTTTCAATTATAGTTACCAATTAATATCTGTAGTTCGAATGGTTTGTTCCGGTCTAATGATATTGGATCCTAATTTAGGGATGTTTACCTCCGTGAGTGAGTGACATATTCGAACCTCATAGAAATCATTTCCCCCTCCCCATTTATACCTGTAAATAATGTCAAAATTGTTAAATATATATATATATATATATATATATCTGTAGTCCTGGTCTAGCTGGCTAAGATGTCATTATAGAAATCTGCAATTACTTTTCTTTGCCCGGCAGAAATCTGCAATTACTTTTCTTTTCCCGGCAGAAATCTGCAATTACTAATCGTTTCCCTATACAACTACTACGAATGGAGAATTAGAAATCCAGACACCTCTACGAAATAAATATGCAACTTGCATAGTGAAAAATAGGGAAGAATTAATGACAATTTAATTTTTATGGGCTCCATTATTCATTTAAAGTATTAATTAGATTATGATAAGAAAAAAAGTGAAAATTAAGACAAATACCAGGATAATACGATATATGTCTCTACTCAGTACCAATAAAAATCAACACATATCTATATATATAGTTAATAAAGGGAATGGTATTATTATTTGGGTTTGTCTAATCTATTGTCTTAGGTCATGTGAATGTTTTTAATTGAATAAAAATAATTAAAAAAAAAACATTTTATACATTGCTTTATTTTTTTTTGAACAGTTTACAATTTGAGGGATTGGGAGAAGGGATTTTTCAAGGTATTAGTGGGACTCAAAATCTTGACCAACTAATCCAAATACCTTAAAATTACGAGAAGAATCATTTGGATCTAAAGGTCTGACTCTATACATTACTTTACATGAAAAAACAAAATAAAATAGTTGAGATTAATTTTAATGCTCACATCATGTGAATGTTTTTAATTAAATAATTAATAAATTAATTTTAATTTTTATTTATTTTATATATTAATAATAAATAATAATAATAATAATACAAAAAAATCCCTTTTATTTTGCCCTTAAATTCATTAATTTTTTTTAAACTAGTACCATTAATGAATGAAAAATGAGATTACTAAAACTTAAACCTTGAATTTATAGATGTCACCAACTTTTTTTTTTTTTCAAAAGAATTGCTGCAATGGTGGTTCCTTAGATTGCATGCAAATTGAAAACAAACGCGAAGGAGGAGAATTTAGTCTCTTTCCACCTTGTTTTGGCCTTCTTGTATTTTCCACTTTACCGACAAAAGAATAAATTCTGAGTACTTCCAAGTGTTTAAATGCTGCCTTACTGCTTTTAGGATGCGTAGCTAAAACTATAAAGAGAAGATAATAAGCAAGGTGAGTCGTTGTTGTCTAAAGTGGTTTAGTGATAAAATTTTTTTAATAGAATTAGAGATGTTAAGATTTAGTTGTATGATAAATTAATAAAGTAAATAAAAAGATGAGAAAGTTGTTTTTTTTTTTTTTTGTTTTTTGGACAACTTAAAATTAAAAAAATAAAGAGAAAGAAGAAGGCAAGGTGAGACGCCCATATCAATCGTAATATTCATGATTTTCATCTAACCAGTTACCTAACATATGCATGATGGTGTTGGACATGTTCACTTAAATTGTTATCCAATCCTACTCAACAATGTTCTTAAGGTGTTGGTTGTGTTCCATCAAACTAGAAGCAATTGTATAAGCTTATCCTTTTTGGGTTTAGATCTCTAGGTCAATTTGCATAAATCTTTAGACTAATTCTTCTCATGTCTATTCAAACGTAGATCATCTGTGCCAGGATTAGGAGTAGTTGACGAGGGACACTCTTAGAAATTCTTGGTTTCTTGGATTCAAGCCAGCTCAGGATATGCTCTCTCAAAGCGAGGTATATATCCTCCATCTCCCATTCTGCCACTAATGAGCCAGCATCACATTACCTCCCCAAATAGCTACCACATACTCACTTCCAATTCTATCATAGAATCTGCCATTTGAAACCTACAGGTCATAAAATGGGGATGAATGCCTACCATCCCTACATTTACCCATAAAGGGTACCTCTCCAACTCCGAGGCACAATCATATAGAATTATAGCAATAAATTCAAAGCGGTAGAATTGACAAAATATTAAATTTTATGTTTCTAGTAGAAAAACAATATAGATTTCGGTTTGGTTTAGTTTGATAATATTAGTATGTTGCTATAATTGTAGGTTTTTTGATCTTTTAACATTTAAAAAATATATTTTATATATTTAATATCTATTTTAATTAACATTTATATATTTTTGTGATAATAAAAAGATAAAAAAAATCAAAAAATAAAATACTAAAAAATGTTGTTAAATGAAACCTTCGTAAAAGCAAGAAAGTATAAAGTAATATAATAATAATTGCCTTCTTCAATTCTTATGCACAAATAAAAGGAGTAAAACAACTGATAATGATGTTTGGAAAAATTAGTTTATAACCTAATTTTGATATGTTAAGTAATAAATAGTAGTGTTCCTTAAGAGATGTCTTAGTAATTAAGAATTTAAATATCTATGTTAGAGATCTTAAATTTAAATTTTGAGATGTATAGGGAGAAGTTTGAAAATTAAAAAAAAGAATTATTCTTTATTGTATAATCCATTATTTATAGACGTCAATTGTTTTTAACTTCCAAACCAAATAGAGCTGGCACTAAAATAAGGCTTTATATTTTGCCTATTTTTTCGTGATGAGTAATTAGTTTCAACTGTTATAATCTTTTTTATAAAATTAAGTAATTTCATAATTTATTATGAGAACGTAGAATTTTAAGTCGGTTTGTAGAAACAAAAAATGCATGAATGCTTGTGAAAAGATTTAAATAGTATTAATAAATTAACATGCATATTTGATTTATTATTAAGTGTGTTTGAATAATTTTACAAACATTCCCATTCTTGTTTCTACAGTTGATTCGAAAAACGCCTTTTTGATTTATTATTATAGATTCTTCTACAATGGTCCTGTCTTTTGAGCCACCCGCATCCCTAAAGAAGAAGGTTAAGAAGAAGAAGAACATAGAGAATAATAGAGATCGATAACGAGGGGTTTAATTCAAACTTTCAAAAGATGTGAATTGCTAGGAGTATGTCCATTTGCCACTTTTAGAGTTGACATCATGCCTCCGGTCTGGAAATAGGAGATGAAGAGAGATGGAAAGGAGGAAGATGGTGCGAAAGAAATTAATTAATGTAAAGTTGTAATTTAATCTAATTATAAATGAATGACGTGATTATATATGTGTTATATTTTTTTAATTTGAGATTGTACAATAAAAAAGAAGCATCATCTTCTATCTCTTAATCCACATGCAACAGCCAGTTAAGGGTTTTTTTTTTTTTTTTTTCAAATAGATCCATACTCCTATTAAAAAGTAAACCATGATGGTGTGTGTATATATATATTTTTTGTAATTGAGAGTAGTTTAGTCATTACAAATATATATCACTGTCATGTATAAATATTGTAACCCCTACATCAAATAATATTGAGATCCACCATTGTCCTAATTTATGTTATCAGAGTCACAATTTGGCACCAAGGGTTTTCTTTTAGGTCGCTTCCAGTACCTCCACTGTTTCAGTCTCTTCTACAGTCCCTACTGTTTTTGCTTTAGTACATCAATTGATTTTTGAAAATATTAATTAAAAAATAAAATTTTCAATAAATTCTAAAAGTAAAAAAAAGTAAAAAAAATTAAGAGGACAATCTACAAAATAATTTTTTTATATATATTAATATTTACTATTAAGTTGTTCTAAGTTTTCTACATTTCAAAACTAACTTTTTTTTAATTAATTTTAAGAGCGTAACTCTTATACTGGATTGAAACATTTAAAAAAATTAGTTTTTTTAGATATTAACCTTAAAATTTAAACTCTAAATTTAATATATAAAATGATATTTATTTTTTATTTAACTTATAAAAATACAATATTTACTTACTAGTGAATTCAAATGTAAGTTTTCAGTAACAAATATTATTGAATCCAATAAACAACAAACTAGTTGCGGAAAAGAAAAGCTTAGATTTGAGCCATAATGGCGAGCACTAAAATCCCACCCACCCCTTGAAGGCTATTAATATAACTATAATAATAGCACATGTGTTGAGTCTAATTAATATCAATAACTTCGCTAATCAATACTCAATAATTAATTTTCTTCTTTCATAAAATACTATAAATTTGGAGTTCAATGGCACATGGGGACATAAGGTATACGACACCTACTGCTATTTATTTTGGTATACTTCATGTCTATAAATTTGGCTAACTTGGAGCTTTCTTAGTCGGTTCACATTCCTTTTCAACCCAACATTTCTCCTTCACTACTAGCTAGTTTGCTTCGATTCAACATGGGTCAGTCTCCTTGTTGTGAGAAGGAAGAGCTGAAGAGAGGTCCGTGGATGGCGGAAGAAGACCGAAAACTCATTGCTTATATTCAAAAGCACGGCCATGGTAGCTGGAGGACTTTACCGGAAAAAGCTGGTAATTATAAATGCTCCCATCAATTCTTCTTTGACTAGTTTATCTTCTCACATAATTTCTCTTTGTTAAGTGGGAACTTAGATTGAAAAAATAGCAAAGATTATATGAGTTTAACAATCGTAGGATTACTCCAACACTTACCAATTGATTTTTGGTTTGTGGGTTGGATTTTGTCACTCATTTTAACAGCTGTGGGTTGTTTTGCATAGGCCTTCAAAGATGTGGAAAGAGCTGCAGACTAAGATGGATTAATTATCTGAGACCCGACATCAAGAGAGGAAAATTCACGTTACAAGAAGAACAGACCATTATCCAGCTGCATGCTCTTCTTGGAAACAGGTAAAAGAGAAAGATCTGGTTTTCACAATTCTACGATTTTTTTCTAACGTTAGGACAACAATATAAGCCAATAACCCGAAGAAAAAACATAGTAACTCAAGGAGTCATAGCTTATATGGTGGTAAGAAGGTTTACTCTCCAGCTATTTTGTTAGGGTTTTTTTAATTTGTGGAGTACATGTTAAAAGTAAGTTTTGTTAAAAGTAATTTTTTGTCATAAATATATTATATAAATTAAGATTAATTTTAATATTATTGTCGAGTAAATGAGTTTAATTAAATGATTGATAAATTGAGATTAATTAATTTATCAATTTAATTAGTAGATGAATTTAATATTAATTTTAACATGTGTGGATATGTGTTAAAAGTACTTTTTTTTTATCATAAATATATATATAAAATATAAAAATTGAAATTAATTTTAACATTATTGACAAGTAGATAAATTTAATTAAATGATTAAAAAATTGAAGATCAACTTTTACTTACCAAGACAAATATATAACGAAAAAGTATTTTTATTACACTCTCAAACATATACGAGTTAAAAAAACCCATTTTGTTAATTAAGATTTCATTTTTTTCAAGAAATCAATGATGGTAATAATTCTACAAAAGAATGGTCCGCTTCGACCCAGTGGTATTGGATCCTGGGTTAAAACTGTTCACCTCCGGTGGGTTGCACGTTCGAACCCCACGAAATTCCTTTTTCCCCCCCTCAATTAACCCTGTAAATAATTACAAATTATTCAAAAAAAAATTCTACAAAAACTAATTTTCTAATTTTGATTTGAATGATTTAACTTTAACTGTACTGTAGAGGTGGACTTGATATTTTTTATCATACAATCACTAAATTTAATGTTTGGTTTACTTACTATATTTTGGTTTGTTATCTCACATTGCTTTAAAAAGTTTATTTTCTTTCAAATATCTAAAACTAGATAAAACTTTAGGATAATGATTAGTATTTTTTTATTTAATATATTTTAGAACACATTTATTAAAAAATTATTATTTTTAAATTTAAATTCAAGACAATAAAAATTTTAAATACATAATTGAATAACTAAATTAGTAAATACTTAGAAGTATTTTAAAGTAGAAAGTATGCAAATCACTATCAAAAACTTTAAGATTAAACTCCTACTTGAGTCTTTCAACTATTTGTATGAATTCTTAAATTAGTCTTTAAATTAAAAAATCTTTAATTTAGTCTTTAAAGTTTTTAAATTTTGCTCCAAATTGGTCATTCCATTAAAAAAAGCTAATGTATCCATTACTTAATAATAAAAAATTGTTATTTGACGATAACATATCATGTTAATAATAAAACACATCAATTGTTTTTTAATAAAAAAATCAATTTGAAACTAAATTTAAAAATTATAAAAACAAAACAAAAAGAAATTTTTATTGTTTCTAAACAAACTCAAACATATGTATAATAATTGAAAAATCAAATTATTGGTCTAACCAAACTTTAAAAAATAATATTAAAATGGCACCTGACCCTTGCGGCCTAGTGGCAATAGTCACTTGGTGCATTCCCCCCTCCCCTGACTGGGTTCGAAACCCACCCCTTGCAAATATGTTCAAAAAAAAATATATATATATATATTAAAATGGTTTATCGTTGAAATACTGTTAATTTTCTCGACGCAATTTCACATATCAGCAACCACATGGAACTGCCACATGATCGAAAATTGCATTCCCTATGTCAATCTCAATTCTCTCTCTTACATAACTTTTTCCTCGGAGTTGCCAATTTTCAAAAAAAAAATTTCTTATCATGGAAAAATAATAATATTTCTTTCTAATCACTGCTTCTAATTGTACATTGAAGTGAAATTTTCTTGCACCATGTTACGTTTATGTGGTGTGACATGGGTGCTCACATTGATTTCCATTAATGGAAAACTTAAGAAATTTTGGTGGATAGAGAATTTCGATATGCTTCCTGTAAATTTTAAGTTAACTTTTTTAAAAATAACGGAATGTAGAGTTCAACTAGGTGTTGTTTACTATATACTGTCTAAATTTAGTGTTTAGTATCAACTATATTGGTTTCTTATCATTTTAGCTCAAGTTATTATTATTTTTTTCAAATTGGTCTAAATCTAAATAAAAATTTAAGAAGCCTCAGTCAATTTTCCTAATAGAATTCCACACATCAGCAATTACGTAGAGAGATCTAATAGATGCCACGTGAATTAAGAAAATTGCATTTTGGCTCATTATCAAATCTCAATTAAGGTCACATGCTTGCTTCTTCTTTTTTTTTTTTTTTTTGTTTCATCGTCATACACAAATATAATGTCCATTTGATGTTCTACTCACCCGTTGCAGTCATTGGAGGGAAATTTTCTTGTATCATGTCACGTTCAGTGGTATGACTTAGGTGTTGAAGTAAAATTTCGTTAGAAAATTACAATTTTTGACAATTTTAATATGCTATTTTTAGGGAGGTTTATATAGTAATTGATTAAATTATTAATAAAGATGCTTCTTTACTCATTTATATATGGTTAGAATTTAAATCTTTGTTCTTCTTCTTATTCTTCTCTTTAAGAGAGTTTTATTTTATTTTTTTTAATATTTTAATCGTGGAGCCGGTTCAAATTGTTGCCCTTGAAAAAAGAATATGAACCTTATAAAAATGATTAAAACCACTTAATTCACAATGTTAGATTCAAGAGTTTTAATTAATTGACTCATTGTATAAAAATAATTGGCTCATTAACAAATGTTCTGACCTCTAATTTTATATTAAAATTATTTTTATACAATGAGAGTTTTAATTAATTGACTCATTGTATAAAAATAATTTTAATATAAAATTAGAGGTAAGAACATTTGTTAATGAGCCAGCTATGTACGTACTGCTAAGAGATATCGGTATGAAATAATGACTGATTTAATAATATGATCAAAATCTGGGATGCAGCCTCTGTACATTCATTTATATCAACGAATTATGCTACTGCTGTAGTTAATTATGGCATCATTAATTAATATTTTGGTCAGATTTTCGTCTTCAACGATCAATCTCTATCTTCATTACTACACCATCTGCTGTGTACGTAGTTATCTTCACACTAGTAATTATCATCTACCAGTAGATGATCATCAGCATCCACCCATTTTTCTCATCATTGTTGCTTCTGTCCCTTTATTCAGATGGTCCTCAATTGCCACTCATTTGCCAAGGAGAACTGATAATGAGATCAAGAACCACTGGAATACACACATCAAGAAAAGGCTGATCAAGATGGGGATTGATCCAATGACCCACAAGCCCAAAATGGATGCCCTGTCTTCACCGGCAGGTCATGGTAAGAACACCGCCGATTTAAGCCACATAGCTCAGTGGGAGAGCGCTCGGCTTGAAGCAGAAGCAAGGTTGGTTGCTAGGGAGGCGAAACAATTGCCAAACCCTACCAAAAAACCCGCTCAGTTGTTGATCAACAAAGCCGTAGCTCCCACGGACGCTAGACCAAAGTGTCTTGACGTGCTCAAAGCTTGGCAAGGTGTGGTTACTGGAATGTTTGCCTTTGCTAGCCACGGCGTTCTTGAGTCACCAACTTCAACACTGAATTTTTCAAATGGTGGGAGAAATGTTCAATTTCTTACTGATTCGGCAATCTCTGTCAATGATACAAAATGGTTTGATAAACCTAACCAAATGCAAGAATTCGAGGAAATAACCGATGACTCCATTAATATCATGTACTCTACTGAAAACGCATGGTTTGAGGAGTCATTTAAGTCTGGAAGCAACGTCGAGAACATAATGGAGGGACTATCGGAAGCAATTGCGTGTAACGATGGGATTATCAACTCATTAATGGATGTTGAAGTGCCTATAAATGGAAACGGCGGTGAGAATATCGTGGAGAAGAGGAACTATTGGGATAGTTTACACAGTTTGTTTAACTCGTCTCCAGCGGCTGGTTCACCAGAGTTCTGATAAATAATGTATGTTGTCGGATAATTGAGGCTGCAACGATGATAGCTAGGTGCAGTCCACCTACCAATGTAACACTCAACGAGGACATATAATAGTATGAAATAATTAATATGATTTTCAGCTACCCTATTAACTCTATTAAATGCACTTTAACATGCATAGGAACCCTTTTTTATTTTTTATTTTTTATTATGGAAAAGCAATCGAATATGGTTAAGAATCACTAAAAAATAAGGCTCAACGAGCCTAAAAGCAAGAGGGTACATTAAGGGCCATCTTAATGGGTCAAAATTACTACTCCCTCAACGTGTTTTTCTGTTTTTATTGTATTTGTATTTTAGGTAATAATTTTTTTGTAACATAAGTGAATAATAATTTATTTTTTATATGTTAATTTTATTAAATAATTTTATTTTATTAAAAAATTCTAAATTTTATTTATATACTACTATAAAAAATATTACTTAAAGTTCATGCATAATTTTAGTAAAACAATTGAAAAAAACAACAAAAATATTATCTATCGAAGTATTAAGACAAGGTACAAAAGATTAAGTCCACAACAATACATGACACCTTATGTGACATTCTCTACTCATCTAATATGAATAGCATTGGCTAAGTTAAAGAGTTGAATTTACTAATAAGTAAATAGTATTATAAAAAAGGGAGAGTGAGGATGTAGTGTTTTGAGCGAGATTTTTGACATCCAGGGACAGTGGCTTCAAGTGGTGGCGACTTCCAGGATATGGTACTTAGTTTATTGGCCAAGCAACCACCTAACTTTTCTGATTTCCAGCAGATTGATCTGCTAAGGATTTGTGGTATAGCTTTTGGGCGTTTGGGAAAGTGGTGGTCGTATATATTCCTACTAGGAGGGATCGACAAGGGTGCCGGTTTGGTTTCCTCAGACTGGTGGGGATTTCAGATGTTAAAGATATGGAGAGGAAGTTGAATCAAATATGGCTAGGCTTCTATCATCTCAAGGTAAAATTGGCAGACGATATGAAAAGAGGAAAGGAAGTGACATCATTGGGACTGAGCAAGTAGCTTGCAAAACACCGGGTGAGAAGGGATAGAAAGGTGAGCCCAAGGGTATCATATCCACCAGTGTAGGTAAATTTGAGGCAATTAAGGAAGGTAAGCCTTCAACGATTGGCAGTAGGCAAGAAGTGGTGCAAACCAGAAAGGAGGATACAAGGAATGGGCAGGAGAAGGTACGATTCAAAGAGGCAGAGGGGATACCGAAGTTGGCTTTAGAGTTTTCTCCTACAGAGGATGAGAATGCATGGTTGAAGAGAAGCATGGTGGCGATGGTCTAATCGTTAGACAAGGTAAAGAAAATCCAAAACAAGTTGGATGTTAATGGTTTAATGGTAAATGTTGCTTTGTTAGAGGGAAGACAAGTGGTATTAGTGGATAATTCGAAGGGTTGTTTAGAAGAGTTTCTTAATTATAATAAGGAATTGGTAGATTGTTGGTTTGAATGGGTATAACCAAGCTCATTAGCTATTATGTCATCAAGGCATAGATTCGTTTGGCTTCATTTTTTGGGTGTACCATTGAAGGCATGGTGTGAGAGATGTTTTGTAGAGTTAGGTGCTTTAATTGGAGAGGTGATCCTTGTTGATGAAGATACAAGTACAGTAAAGGTGGATGGGGAGTTTTTTCCAATTATGGTGATGGAGGAGGAGTGGAGAATGGCTCTAGATTGGTGGTTGGCTGGTGAACGACGAAATTCAGTGGACTCTAAATATGGTATAGAATATCCCGATGATGGTAATAGTGATGTTATCTTTAATGTTAATGGTTTGTTGGAGGATGATGGAGAGAAAGATGCTAAAGAATGTGGGGCAACAGTAGAGGATTCAAATTGGAATTTAAGATGCCAAGTAATTTCTAAGGAAGGGGAATCGGTTGAAAAAGAAGTAGTGGTGGGCTTCATGTTCATGGGCTAGAGATGCATGGGTCGATTGAGAACGAATTAGGTGGGCTTCAAGAAATGGGATTAGAGGTACAATGGGCTGAAAAAGGTAACAGTGAGGGGCTTCGATCCAGTCTTGGACAGTAGCGACAGGTGGCTCCAAAAAGTAGAAAGTGTAAAAGCTTGGGGTGATATATGCTGGGATTGATGATACAGAGAACTCGAGGTCGGTGGGAACAAAGTTGATGACAGCAAGAACCAGGCTTCGAAAGGGAAGAAAAAACAGTGATAATCAACATGAACATCACGAAGGAGTGTAAAATACAAGTCAATCTCTATTTGATGGCTACATTCAACATTGCAATGCTTTAATTCGGCAACAAGTAGAATTGGAAGAGGTGCATAGGCTGTTTGAGTTGGGGCAAAGGTTAGGGATTTGGTGTTAGCTGACTGAGGATAAGGTGATGTCCAGATTGGTGGCTTTGGAAGAAAGGGATGAAGCCAATTTTAGGGGAGTCAGAACTTCCGACTGTTGTACCTATGATTTTGATGATTACAAAAGATATTTGACTGATTAATTGGTTTATTTAAGTGTGTAGTTAAATTGCTAAAAGATTGCATGTAAAGTTGTACTGCACTAAAAATAGACCAAAAGGATTGAAAATGTGTAGAAAGTCGGCTCTGGAAGTTGCAGCTGGCTCTACAGGCAAAAATTTGAAGATTGTTGTTTGGCGCGCGCGGAGAAAAGACGCAAAGCTGGTTCCAACTTTGTAGCTCGCTGTGAGGGTGCATTTAATGCACAACGGTTGAGTTATTTGAATATTATTTAATATGTTTAAAGTTGGAATCCCAAAGCCGGCTCCAGGCTTTGCAGCCAGCTGTGGAAGAAAACAAAATGCGCAGGAATCCCGCAAAGCCGACTGCAAAATTTTTAAGTCGGCTCTAAGGAAAAAACAAAATACAGGAATCCCGCAAAGCCGGCTGCAGAAATGGTAAGCCAACTGTACAGAGCTAGCTCTAGGAAGTTAAGTTGACTTTCCTAACAATCCTGCAACTCGAGCTTTGCGTCCTGCAGAGCATTTAATGACCCCCAACGGTTAGAAACGGCTATTTTCGACCAAGGGGTTATAAATATGGTTGGTAGAAGATCTGGAGTAAGTTTAGAGAGCATTGCATTGAATATCTTTACCTATCTACATGAGCTTTAACTTGAGTTTTTGATCTTTAAGAGATCTTTACTTGTAATCCTCTTCTTGTTCTATTTGTGAGTGATCTTGAAGGTGTGATTAATCCTTCAAGAGTGATTTGTAGAGAGGATTCTTGGGGTTTAAGTGTAAAAGGGTGAGATTTGAGAGAAACACCATTCTTCTTCTAAAAGGATTGAGTTACTCCTTTAAGCCACCCTTGTTGTTGTTAGTGGAGAGTGTGGAAGAAATCCTTGGTGAGTGAAGCCAAGGTAGAGGACTAGGCTCCAAGTGATTGGATCGAACCTCTATAAATCATTGAGCAAGCTCTTCTTCTCTACTCTCTTTAATTTTGGTTTTGTGGTTGAAAAAAGGGGAGAATTTTTGGAACTCCAATTCACCCCTCCTCTTGGAGTACATTGAATTAACAATTGGTATCAGAGCAAAGGCTCCAATTTGAAGATTTAACCACCTAGCAGTTGATTAGGGATGGTTCAATTTCAAGCTTCTCAACCACTTGAAGGTTTGTCTACCACCAAGCCTCCTTTCTTTGATGGTACTAATTATAATTATTGGAAGAATAGGATGAAGGTCTTAATGTTTGCGAATGTGCCCAAGGCATGGATTGTGACTATGAAAGGTCCATATGTGCCTATGAAAGTAGTTGGGGAAAGTGAGCTGCCAAAGGAAGAAGTTGAATGGAATGATGAAGACTTGGTGAAGATCATGATCAACAACAAAGCAATCAACATTCTTCAATGTGCTCTCAATCCAACAAAATTCCATAGAGTATCTGGATGGGATACGACCAAGGAGATGTGGGACATGTTGGAGGTAACACATGAAGGAACAAGCCAAGTGAAGGAGTAAAAAATCAATAGACTTATTTACATGTATGAGCTTTTCAAGATGAAACCGGAGGAGAGCATTCAAGATATGTATACAAGATTGAATGATATAGTCACCAATCTCAAGGCTCTTAGTAAAGTCTATCCTTCTAAAGAAGTGGTGAGGAAGGTTCTTAGAAGCTTGCCCAAGAATTAGGAAGCCAAGAAGACCACAATTGAAGGATGTAAGGATCTCAACACTCTCAAGCTTGAAGATCTCATTGGAAAATTGATGACATATGAAATAGAAGTTCAAGTTGATGGTGGAGTTGAAGTAGTTGAGAAGAAGAAGAAGAATGTTGCTTTCAAGGCTAACAACCAAAAGGAAGAGAGTGAAGATGATGCTAGCAATGAGGAGGACATCACCAAATTAGTTTCAAAGGAAGTGTGAAAATACATGAAGAAGAGCCTCAAAGGGACATCCTCTAGAAGAAACAAAGAAATTCACTATTCTAGAGGTAGAATATGTAATGATGATGATGATAGAGGAAAACCAAGCAAGAAGCATATCAAATGCTATGAGTGCAATAAGATGGGGCATTATAGAGATGAATGCTCTCAATTGAAGAAGGGTGAAAGGAAAAACAAGAATAGCATGAAGAAGAAAACTTTTACCGCCACTTGGAGCAAGGATGACACTAGCTCAATGGAAAGTGAAAGCACCTTGGAGAATGGTATTGCAAATCTTTGCTTCATGGCTCAAGAGGATAGCAACAATGATGAGGAGGTAAACTCTAACTTCTCTAGTTCAATTAATGAAAGTTCCTTTGAGTATTCTTATGATTATTTATGCAAAGTTCTTGATTACTCTATGAATGATATCAAAAAACTAGGAAATGAGAATCTTGCTCTTACTAAAACCATTTCATTACTTAAAAGTCAGATTGTATCTCTTTCAAAACAAAATGAAGTTTTAGTTAAAAAAAATGCCTCTTTAAATGGTGAACTTAAATGGTGAAATTGCATCTTTAAAGAATGAGAAGCCTAGTAATGCTTTGAAAAAGGAAAATGAGGATGCAAAGAAGGAAAATGAGGATTTAAAGAAGAAAAATGAGGTTTTAAAGAGAAAAGCGTGTGATCTTGAGAATGTGATTTCCAAATTTACTGAGTAAAGAAAAATTTGATTCTATCTTAAAATCTCAAAGAAGTATTTATGACAAAAGGGGCATTGGATTTGATTATTCTAAAAAGCAAAAGACTTTTAAGAATTCTTTTGTGAAAGCAAGTCAATCCTCTCATCCTAATGTTACTTGCTATTGTTGTGGTGCAAAGGGACACTTTGCCTATGTATATCCTTTGAAGAGATTGATAGCTCAACATAAAGTCAAGCAAATTTGGGTTTCAAAAGGAACTTTAAGCACTAACCGCCATGGACCCAAGCAAATTTGGGTACCAAAAATCAAAACTTAATTTGTTTTGTAGGTAAAGTTGATGGCAAAGTCATAAGAAGAATAAAATTGATCTTGATAAAGACTTATGCCTCAACAAGAATGTTGGAGTGAAAGTGCAAAGAAAATTTGTTTTTGAATGCTCCACTCATGTGCTCAATTGGTATTACTTATCTTATTTATCTTATTGCATTTATTCATTGAGTATAATTACATTAACATGACTATTAATTATTTGTTTATGTGTGCTCACTCTTTGATACATGTGCTTGTTGAGTATGATTTTATTTGATGTGTCTTTTCTAATGTTGATACAACCTTGTTGATTGCTATAGATATTACTTGTATAATATTTACATACTTGACATATGTGAATGATTAGATTGACTATCTATCATATATAGTTCATAATGAGCTCTTGATGGTACAAGTGATTTTCAACGTCATATGTGTCACTTTGAAGATGGTTGATGAGTTGATTTAAATGAATAATTTTAATAACTTGTCTTACTTTACATTGTTTGTCTCATTCAAATTTACTTGTTTCATTATTTTCATAATTTTAATGATAGCACTTGAAAGTTAAGCATGATCTTAGGAAGAGTCTTACACTTGGAAGTTAAGTATATTAGGAAATTTGTCTGTTTGCTTTTTGATGGATGATTTTGATGATATTTGATTATGTGCAAGTGTATGTCATGCACTTGAATGCTTGCCTAGTCATGGTTGATTTCAATGAATAAAATTGTTGATAGTTTCTATCATATGATACGATGCATATAAAAAGGAGTAATAGTGTTGAATCTATTCATATGGTATTCAATGAGACTAACCCCATTTGCTCTAGAAAGAGTATGAAATGGTGATGTAGCTGTTATTGGGTACCAAAGATAAGAATGAACATTGAAGGCAATAGTATCAGACAACCTCCATGTGAAGCAAGTGAAAAGAACAAGATTGAGGAGATGCAACAAGCACAAAAACAAAGGTTATAATTCTACCCAAAAGAGAGATTTTATAAAGGTAATGTGATAAATGATAACATATCTCAAGGGTAAGAAATATACATGCCGTACTTAATGATGGCATTAACATTGTTTTTGATGCTACTAATGAGATTATTATATAAGTATGTTCATGTTTTAATGAGTCATTTTATTAAGGGGGAGTTCTATTGTTTGCTTTTCATATGGTCTTTAAACTTTTTTGTTGGATAACAAAAAGGATAGAAAGAATTTTTTGACCTTCATAGTTGCTTGGAATGAGATATCTTTGTTTACTACAAAGCCTCTTGATTGTGATAGATTTTTAATATTTGGCCATTTTCCTCTCTTCACATTCAAGATTTGATTCTCTCCCAAAACTTGCCCTCATTATCTATGCACATTTCTTAGCTTATTATCATGAATTGTGGGTTTTAATTGTATATGACTTTATGATTGCCTATGATTTTGATGATTATGATCTTAAGTGTTTTCATTGAGGGGGAGCAATTTGTGGATATTGTGCTTAAATCACATATTTTTGATGTTTTAAAGGTTGTACGCATGAATTAAGAGGGAGTTTGTCGATTATACTTATATGCTTTTTGATGGATGACAAAAAGAGGGAGAAAGTATGCTAAAATTTCTATTTCCATATGAGCTCTCATTGAAATATATATGTGCTTTCATTAATTTATTTTCAAAGTGTTTTGTCATCATCAAAAAGTGGGAGATTGTTGTACCTATGATTTTGATGGTTATAAAACACATTTGAATGACTAATTGGTTTATTTAAGTGTCTAGTTAAATTGCTAAAAGATTGCATGTAAACTTAGACTGCACTAAAAATAGACCAAAAGGATTGAAAATGTGCAAAGAGCCGGCTTTGTGAAATGGAAGTGTAGAGAGTTAGTTCTGTGAAATGAAAGTGCAAAGAGCCGACTCTAAAAGTTGCAGCAAGCTCTATGGGCAAAAATTTGAAAACCGTTGTTTGGCGCGCGCAAAGGAAAGATGCAAAGCCAACTCCAACATTGCAACCGGCTGTGAGGGTGCATTTAATGCACAACGGTCGAATTATTTGAAGATTATTTAATATGTTTAAAGTTGGAGTCCCAAAGCTGGCTCTAGGCTTTGTAGCCGGCTGTGGAAGAAAATAGAATGTGCAAAAAACCCGCAAAGCCGGTTACAGAATTTTTAAGCCAGCTCTACGGAAAAAATAGAATGCAGGAATCCCGCAAAGCCGACTGTATAGAGCCGGTGCTAGGAAGTTAAGCCGGCTCTCTTGACAATCCTACAACTCAAGCTTTGCGTCCTGCAGAGCATTTAATGACCCCCAACAGCTAGAAACGACTAGTTTCAACCAAGGGGTTATAAATATGGTTGGTAGAAGATCTGGAGCAAGTTTAGAGAGCATTGCATTGAATATCTTTACTTACCTACATGAGCTTTAACTTGAGTTTTTGATCTGTGAAAGATTCTTAATTGCAATTCTCTTCTTGTTCTATTGTGAGTAATCTTAGGGGTGTGATTAATCCTTTAAGAGTAATTTGTAGAGAAGATTCTTGAGGTTTGAATGTAAAGGGGTGAGATTTGAGAGAAACACTCTTCTTCATATAAAAGGATTAAGTGGCTCATTTAAGCCACCTTTGTTGTTGTTAGTGGAGAGTGTGGAGGAAATCCTTGGTGAGTGAAGCCAAGGTAGAGGACTAGGCTCCAAGTGGTTGGATCGAACCTCTGTAAATCATTGAGCAAGCTCTTCTTCTCTACTCTCTTTAATTTTGGTTTTGTGGTTGCAAAAAGGGAAGAATTTTTGAAACTCCAATTCACCCCCCTCTGGGAGTACATTGAGTCAACACCGACATAGGCCAGGTTGGTGGTTGTTTGTGAGGATTGTTTTATGAATCATGAAAGTTATTTCTTTTAATGTTAAGGGTTTGGATAATCTATTAAAATGAGAGAGATTTCAAATTTGGTTAGGAAAGAAGAGCTTGATTTTCTATTTATTTAGGATTGAGGTTTTTGTATGTTGATCTTTGTGGAATTCAGATGAGTTTGATTGGGTAATGTAAAAATTAGTAGGTAATTCTAGTGGTTTGTTGTGCATATGAAATAAAAAGCGGCTTGTTAAACAAACTGTGTTAAAGGATATTGGTTTCATTAAAATTTCTAGTGATTAGGGTTATGAGCAATTAAGGTGCACCTTTGTTAATGTATATGCTCTGTGTGAGGGACACAAGAAGGTTTTATTGCGGAAGAAGATTGGTGATTTAGAATTGGAAAGGGGTGGCAGATGGCTTATATTTGGGGATTTTAACTCTGTTTGGAATACAATAAAAAGGAAAGGTAGAATGGGTGAGACACAGGATATGCATGATTTCAATCAATTTGTTGAAAGTACTAGGTTGATGGATGTTAATTTGGTGGATAGAAAATTCACATGGTATAGACCTGATGGTTCTTTGATGAGTAGGATTGACATGTTCCTATTATCTGCTGAAATGAATTTATTGGGTCTAGATTGAAATCAGGTTGGTGTTGGAAGATCAATTTTAGATCATTATGCAATTATTCTGAAGTCAAGAAATGTAGATTGGGATCCAAAGCCTTTTCAGGTGCTTGATGCATGGCAGTAACATCCAAACTTTAGAGAGTTTGTAGAAGATAGATGGAAAACATTGCAGGTTAATGGATGGGCAGCTTATAAATGCAAGAAAAAATTGAAACTATTAAAGGAGGAATTAAGGAGTTGAAATAGAAGGGTTTTTAGAAATGTGGAAGCTCAATTTGTAAATTTATCAAAGCATATTGAGATGTTGGATAAAAAAGTGAGGAACTAGAGTTGGTGTAAATGAGGTGGTGATGAGAAGACAGTGTTTTGAGGAGTTGTGGAATATCTTAAAGAAGAGGGAAACTGTTTGGAAACAAAAAGCACAGCATAATTGGGTTCGCCATAGGGATGCTAACATAAGTTTCTTTCATAGGAGAGTGCATGCAAAAAGGGCACAAAATGCAATTTCAAGGGTATTCTGTGAGGATGGTTGGGTTGAAGAACCAGATGTGGTGAAAGTAGAGGTTGTGAAGTATTTTAGTAAATTGATTCAAAATGAGCAATGTAGTCATCTAGTAATGAGTGGTGTCCAGTTTAACAACATTTTGGTGGCAAAAAGGGAGTGGTTGGAAAGACCTTTTTCCATTAAGGAAATTGAAGAGGGTCTTAGTGGTTGTGATAGGTCAAAGGCACCAGGACTAGATGGTTATAATTTTAATCTCATAAAGTTTGTCTGGAGCACATTGAAGAGACGATTTTATAAATTTTATGATGGATTTTCATCAACATGGGAAGTTAGTCAAAGGATTAAATTCTTCATTTTTGGCACTAATTCCTAAAAAATTAAATCCTGTGCATTTTAAGGAGTATAAGCCTATTAGTTTGATTGGTTGTCTATACAAACTATTGGCTAAGGTATTAGCGACGAATCGGTTGAAAATGGTAATGACAGACATTATTAGTGTTTCTCAATTAGCTTTTGTGGGTGGACAACAATTGGTGGATAGTGTGTTGATTTTAAATGAGGTAGTGGATGAGGTAAAGAAAAGGAAACAGGCGAGTTTTATTTTTTAAAGCTAATTTTGAAAAGGCATATGATTGTCTCGATTGGTTTTTTCTTGATTGGATGATGGCTCGAATAGGTTTTGGGGTTAAATGGAGACAATGGATGCATGAATGTCTATCAAGAGCAAGAATTTCTATTTTAATTACTGGAAACTCGACGAAGGAATTCTTTGTTGGCAAAGGTCTTCATTAAGGTGATCCTTTGTTTCCTTTCTGTTTTTACTACCTGGTGAAGGACTGTGTGGTCTTGTGAAAAAAGCGGAGGGTGAGGCACATTTGCTCGGAGTGGAAATTGCTAAAGGTGGTATGATATTGTTTTCATTACAATTTGTTGATGATACTGTGTTTATGGGGAAGGTAGATGTGGGAAATTTAAGAGTTGTGAAAGCCATTCTACATTGGTTTGAATTGATTTTTGGTTTACGAATAAATTTTTGTAAGAGTCATTTGTATGGATTTAATGTTTTTGAATGGTGGATTAAGGGTTTTGTTGATATTTTAAGATGTGGAGTGGGTAAGGTGCCCTTTATCCATCTTGGTTTATGGATTGGAGGGAATTCAGATAGGAAAAGATTTTGGGAATTGGTGTTGGATCAGTTTCAAGTTAAGCTTGTCACTTGGAAGAGCCTTTTACTGTCCTTTGGAGGTCGGATCACCTTGATCAACTCGGTACTTTCTGTTTTTCCTGCTTTTTATTTCTCTTTATTTAAAATTTCTAAATGTGTTATTGGTGAGATGATTAAAATTTAGAGGATTTTTTTTTTTTTTTTTGGGTGGTGCTTCTTTGGAGAAGAAAATTGCTTAGGTTAGTCGGGCTAATATTTGTATGGATAAGGACAGAGGGGGTTTGGGAGTGGCTAATTTGGAGAGAAAGAATCAAGCATTACTAGGTAAATGGTGGTTTTGGTTGGGGGATGGGATGGAGGGATTATGAAAGAGAGTGACTTGGGAGAAATATTATAAGGGTAGGAAAGATGCTACTATTCTTTCTTTTAATTATTTAAATATGTTCAGGTGTGGAAGGGTATTGTGAGTATTGGTTATGAGTCCAAAAGGTTGAATTTCATGTTAGCAAAGGGTTTTAAATGGGAAGTTGGTAATGGAAGTTGTGTGGATTTTTAGGAGAATAGGTGGGTGGGAGACAAATCTCCAAAAATTTATTTCCCAAGTTGTTTGAGCTAGCAATAGATAGAGAGGGATTGGTGAAAAGTATGGGTTTTTGGAGTGGGAATGATTGGGTATGGGATTGTAGATGGAGACGTAGTTGTATACGGAGGGCAGGTAGTGAGGAGGAACAATTTAAGGACTTGATTAATGGAGTAAAGGTGAGGATTGATAAACTGATTTTTGGAGATGGATTCATAAGGGTGATGGTGTATATTCTGTGAAATCTGCTTATGCTTTCTAACACCTCTAATTGTATTCTCGATAAAAGGTGGATTAGAGTTATTCGATGTAAGTATGTTCCCTCTAAATTGAGTGTATTTGGGTGGAGATTATTTTTGAATAGGTTATCAACAAAGGAGAATTTATATTTAAGAGGAATTTTGTTAGAGAGGGTAATGGGTTGTGAGTTTTGCAATGAGGGAGTGGAGCATCTTTATCATATCTTTTGTGAATGTAAAGGGGCATGGCTAGTGTGGATGCAGCTTTTGAGATGGTGGAGTTGGCAAGGTGTTTTGTTGAATGATATCTTTGGATTGGCAGATTCTATGATACAGGGTATTGGTAGGGGTGTGGGAAAGATTTAGGTGCTTTCATTTTCTTAGTTGTTGCTTGGTTTTTTGGTATTGGAGAAACATGAGGGTGTTTGAGACTAATTTGAGGCATGAGGAGCTGTTGTTAAAGTCCGTACAAATAAAATCTTTTATATGGTTAAAGAATAAAGTGATAGATTATAGATTCACTTATCAAGACTGGATATTAATGCCTAAGAAATGTAGAGAAAGCATTGTGCAACATCGTAATAATTTGAGAAAAAGCAATGCTAGGGGCACTCACCTCCTACACTCTTCGGCCAACGCTTTCTCTTTTATTGGCCACATTATTTTGGTTTATGAGAGGTTGCGCCTGAAAGCTTTAAAAAAGCTTACGTGGCCCAATGAAAGGGGAAGTGTTGGCCGGAGAGTGCAAAAAGCGAGTGCTCGTAGCACTGCTCTTTGAGAAATTACAAGTTATTGGAAAGGGCTATGTGTTAATTTGTTTTTACTTTTTTGTTTATGGAGCTTCTTTGGGAACTTGTCGATTTCTTTAAGAGTATGTAACAGGTCTGCTTTTGGTTCCCGCAATTAGAGTTGTATTGGATTTTTAGAATATTCCTTAGACTCCTATATTAATAAATTATTCATTTGGTTTGGCTAATAAAAAACAAACTAATAAGTAAATATTAATAAAGTTTATTTTAGAAGTGTTAAGCTATAACTTTAGATTTTTTTTTTAATTTTTTAATATCTAAAAATAAATAAAATATATTTAATATTTATTTCATTAATATCTTATATATTTTTAAGATAATAAAAAATAAAAAATTGAAACACTAATAAGTATTCTCAAATAAAGTTTAACTTTCATTTTATAAATTAAGTTTAAAATTTAAATCTTAATATTAACATTTAAAAAATTAATTTTTTTAAATATATAATAA